TATTTGTATAAGATCACAAGCGGTTTATACAAAAGGAAAATATTGTTTATTCACATCAGTGTCTTGCTCTCAAAATCTTCCCATAACTAGATGAGATTTTCTTTTTTAAATAATTGATGAGTTTATTTTTGTGTCTTCCTATATTCTGCTGAATTGTAATAGATTTGCATTCTTGTAGCTGAGGATCCTCCTATAAAGAGAATGCAAAATATGTGCTACCTTCCTATAAATTTCAAGTTTGTAAGGTAGAATGGAGACACCACTACAAACTCAGTCATTGAAAACCAACACCAAAATGTGTTTAGCTATAATTCAGTGGTAAGACTCATGTGAGAGATGACACCCTCATACTAGTGTTCATCCCAGTATGTTAAAGCTGTATTTCTGAATGCTTGTGTGTAATTATGCAGCTCATCATGTGGAAATTTATTAGCTTCAATATTCAAAATTATTTATTTTCCCGATTACATACTTAAGCACAATAGGTTTAAAATTGTGATAACTGATTCTTAAAGGATAAACAATCTGTAATATATCCATATGATAGAATACTACTTAGCAATTAAATGAGAAACTTGAAAATTTAAAAGTCACAATGCTAAGTGAAAGATGCCCATCTCAAACATTTACATACTGTATGATCCCATTGATGTGATATTCTGGAAAAAAAATTAAAGATGTGATGAGAGCCGATTAGGAGTTGCCAGGGGTTAGGAATTGGAGGAAGTTCTGTCTGTAGTGGTATGGAAGAGAGGGGTGTTTGGGGTAACAGAACTGTTTTGTATCCTACTTGTGCAGGCATTAGTTAGATTTGTCCATGTATTAAAAATCTCAGCACTCTCACACAGGTAACATGTCAATTATGCTTATTAAGAGCAAAAATTTTCTTCAAATGATTAATAAACTAGTGACTTCTGTTGACATAAATATTAATTGTGCTCTTTTTAGTGAAAACAAAGATATTGATGTAGTTATTAGGTTTACAAAATAAGGTGAAAATAATACCACTTCTACTCAGTGAATAATACCAGAGACTCTATGCAAGAGTGTAGGGGAATATTCAAAGTTATGTGTCCCCTAGTGGCTATAAGTCGTCCTCTTGTGCATATGGAACATTTTCCTGTTCTTTATGGTAATCACTTTCCTGCCTCGGTGTGTATATATGGTGTATGACAGTTACAGTGGCTGTGGGAATCATAACTTTAAGTTCTGTGACTTTTCTGTGAGTAAAACCAGCCATAATGTTGAATTAATGCCATTCCTCACATTGAATTTCCCTGCTGTTATAAGTGGAAGACTTACCACATTTTGAATAAGAGCTCTGTGTTCATTTCTGATAGCATGTAAATGATGGTGGTTGTTTTGTCATTTAATTAACGTCATCATTAAGTACAGTGAGGCCAACCTGGGAGAATATATATTGTGTATAAATCTGTAGGGGGACCAAATTTAGGCATCCATCTGGCCTCTTTTCCCATGGCAAGTAGAAGATACCAGGCCAACATGATCTGTGGCTAATAACAGATATTTTAAACAGAAATTCTGAACCTAGACATGGTAGTTTAAAAAAATTTTTGTCTTGAAACAGGATTGGCCAAATGGAACTTACTTCATTTAACCCACTTGAGAACAATAGTGAGGGATTTTCAGGCTGCAGAGCATCAGATAACACTGGTGACTCTTGGCTCTGCATGTGAAGTCATAGTTATTGACATAGTAATCAGGAAGAAGTTGAATTCATGGGATTTGATAGTGTACAGTATTAAAGATATATGAAGAGATCTTTTAATGTTGTGAAAGTTGAGTAAGATAATTGATTTCTATCATAAAGCAACTTTTGGACTGGCCTGCGGACTCACCTAGGTGTCTAATTTTTAGAGATAGCACATAAAGGAGATACCAAGAACACAAAGGATAGGTAGTTTAGCAAAGTACCTGCTGCCCCCTTTCTTGTTTGCTGGGAGGTTGAGCCCAGGGCTCCTTTTTTTGTGGAAGCAAATTCCTCACCATCACTGTTGGGGCCTGAAAGATCTATAGCAGGAGAATAGAACTGATTTCCTGTCTGGAACTGGGGTTTTTATTGCCGTATCTCGCTCTGAGCATGTATGTCTTGGAAGGCATCCTACCATCCAGGATCTCTAATTGTGCCCAAGATGTTCTTAGTGGTTACTATGGATGGAATAACAAAGGACATTTCCTCAGTGCCTTGGGTCCTGGCTCCCATCCCCAATAATTCATGGTCATCTAATCAATCTCTGCAAACCTCTTTCCTGTCTCCAAAGTGGCCTCTAAACCTTGGAGTTATCTAACCATTTTTGGAGGGGGGAAATCCCATCTTTTTTTTCCACACAAGAAATAGGCTCTGGCTGACGTACCAGAAAAACAGGAATGTGCTCCCATGGCTTGGGGGGTGGGTGGGATCTGCTCCTCCCGGTCCTCTCCATCCTGCCTTTTATTACAGTCAGCTGTCCTCATAGAGCATGAAAGCTCTTCTGTGCACACCCTCGTTTGTGCACTTAAGACCTGACACAACTAAGGTCTCTGCTGTTCCCCTACTAACTAATGAATTGTGCAAGTTTTAATACCTTGTGGAATCACATCCAGCGTGGGGGAGGTATGTTTTATATTAGGAAAGAGATCTCTCTCACTGTGAGCTCATTTGGGCAGAATTTGCATTTCCTAGTTTTGGGTCGGTGACTGACTATATAGTTGCCGGGCCCATGGAGATCTGGTTTGAGGAAGGCCGTTCACATCTTGAAATGCTTCCTACATTATTGACATGCTCAGTTCTCTGGATCTCAAGTTGTTTACCTCCCTTGGAGTTGGGAGGCCAGCCAGGCTTGTCCTGGGAGGGATCAAGCCCTGACGGCCCACTCTTCTGTTTTCACTTGCTCAGTGGTATTTGCTTGCTAAGCATGTGATGAACTAGGGCAACCCATGGTCCAGCAGGAGAATAGAACTGGTTGTCCCAATATTCCAGTCAATGACTTTGATGGCAAAAGCTGTGGACAAACTAATGCCTTTCAGTTCACCTCTTCTGCCCACACTAACAGGACAGCAGCCCACACACCTGAAACTGGATATGCAAATATCAGATTTCCAAAGGGGAAGACCTGAGAACAGATATCATCATGGACAATCATTCATTTGCTTTTTAAATGAAGGCTTTTCTTCTTCTTTGCAGAAGTTACGTGGCAATGGTGATCTGAATGCGTCTTTGACGTCTCAACATTTTGATGAACAATCTGTGAGTGACGTTCCTTAAAAACAAACACTGAAGTAAACATTATAAGTGTTTCTCATCAAATGTTCATATTTCTTTGTCTCTCTTACTTCTAAAGAATATAAAAGCTCTACCCACCTTCACAAACCGGCCTTGCCAATTTTAGCTGGAAGAAATTAATTCAGTATCTATTGATTGGTCATACTGGAATAGAGTCTTCTAAAAATTCACGGAAGCTATGAAATTGAGAGAAATGGTAAAGGAGACAAAGCCATTTTGAAGTCCTTTGAAATTTTCTAAAGAAGACTTGTCAAGGGCAGCTTTGGCCACAGAATCGATTAATTGTCTAATAAATGAATGATACATATTTTCATCTGTCCCTCTTTGAGGAGAGGCAAACATTTAAACTGGCTCAATAATTTTACTGGATTCATATAATATATATTAAAAAATTGACTTCAACTTTATGGCCCTAAGAGACGATGTGTTTCTGGAAAGGAAAGTGATGCGATTTGGGGGAGGTGAGAGAAGGAAAGTAAGAGGAGGAGACCCCAAGAGAGGGTGCCAGAGAATGAAAGGACATGTGGCAGATCTGGGAGACTGCTGGGCAGGGACGGTGTGGATGTCCCATGTGGGTACAAGCAAGGGACGTTTGTCTGATGGTCGAGAGGGCTTATTAGGAGGGATCTGCTGAGTGTCAGGCACGGAAAAGCTTACCACAGGTGGAGGAGGTGTGCCAGAGCTGTTGGGGATGGGTGTGAAGGTGGAGGCTGGGAGGCATTCTATCTCTGAGATTGGAAGCGTGGTCACAAGTTCATGGAGCCACGCTGGCAGCTGTATTTCTGCAGGCTGTTTTCCTCTCAGAACTCTATCATACTATAAGGAATCCCAGAGAAAATTAATGAGTTTAAGGGTTTTCAGAGATTGGCAGATCCCTTATGTAATCATTGGGAAGTTCATCCTGTGAAGAAATGATCATGATTGCCTTTGAATTCAGATAAGATCCTCCTGGGGGAAATAAGAAGGATTTGTTAATAAAATGGTTGTGTTAATCAACTTTTCATTGCTGTAACTAAAATGCCTGACAAGAACCACTTAGGGGGGGAATAATTTATATGTAGTTATAGGTTTGGAGGACTTAGTCCAGGGTCAGCCGGCTCCATTGCTCTGAGCCCAAGGTGAGAGAGAACATCATGGTGGAGAAAATCTGCTCAGCTCCTAGCAGTCCGAAAGCAGAGAGGGTGGGTGGTATTGGAGTGGGGAAGGGGTCAGGAGGAGAGAAACCCTTCCAGGGCATCCCCTAGTAGCCTACTTCTTTCAGCTAGGACCCGCCTTTGAGTTGTCCATTCGACCATCAATGGGCTAATCCATCAAGGAGATCAGAGTCCTCAGACCCCCACCTCTGAATATCTGAGGGTTGGAGGACAGTCCAGATCTAACCCTCAAGAGCAATGGAAATAAATCATCAATGTGAGTGGGGCTTGGAGATAACACTTGACAATGGTTGTGACCTTTTTCCTTATTGAATTCAAGAATGTCTTTGCTCTTGTAGAAATTTTCTTGTTGGGTTCAAGACTTGGTGATTTAAATGCCTCCTTTGTCTCTACAGACTCTCGAGGAGGCTGGCGATGGCCTCAGTAACCTCCCCAGCCCTTTTGCATACCTCCTCACCATACACCTGAAGGAAGGACGCAACCTGGTTGTCCGAGATCGATGTGGTAAGGCTGGTTCTGTTGGCTCTTTGTAGCCTGAAAACTTTTTTCTGTCCACCCTTACGTGAAGGTTGTTAGTCATGTTTTTCATGTTGGCATGGTTTTGGACACACCAGAACTGAAGCCTAAGCATCTCCAGGCAGGGAATTCTTTAAATGCCCTGAACCCTGCTGTCATTTTTTAAAATTATTAAATTAACAGCACTAACACATAAAGTTACTTTAGAATGAATAACTATGGTACCCTTATGCTTGGCACATAGCAACTATTCATAAGCACGTGTGTTTGACCCTATTCCTTAACTATCTATAAGAAAGCTGTGAATAGTGTTTTTTTTTTTTTGGATGAGGTCATCAAATAGATACATTGATAGAAATGTCGCTTAAATCCCCACCCCATCATTCTGCCTTGAAATTCCACTGAACTCTCTCTAAATGTTATTATCTGAGATGATTCTGTACAAACTCCTGGCATGTCTGTATACATTTCCTTATGTTCATACCTACATATATATATTGAAATCGAGATGGAACTGTAATGCCCACATTATCCTAGCATAAGCTCTTTTTTTAACCTTACAATATTTTGAAGATTGATAACAATATCTTGGAGTTTTTCCATGTAAATATCTTTTTAAAGACAATGTAATACTCCATACTATGAAATTTCATTTATCTCTTCTAATGATGATGCCTGTTTTTGGCCTACTTTGTTGACCATATAAATGATGTGTATGCCCCTGTGCGCAGAGAAGGTTATTCTTTACATAAAAAAAAAAAATCTCATGGGTTTAAGAACAGACAGTGAGTCACGCACACTGTCTGGGATCAAATTTTGGCTTCTTCATTCTTTGTTACCTGATTTTTAGGTTTCTAGGTTCCTCACCTATAAAACAACAATACTAAAACAAGGTAATAATAAAAAAACCTTTTAGGCTTTTAGGAGGATTGTAGACATATACTGACATAAAGTCCCATGTGCTAAGTTGAGATTTTCTTTTTCTTATAACTCTTTATAATTTTCAGCATTTACATTTATTGTCTGATGCAAATATTTGTCTCCCCATCTGTTGCCTCTCCCTAATCTTATGGCCTCTTGTGTCCTTCAGAGGTTTTGCATTTCATCATGCAAATATCACTTTTTTTTATGGTCTCTTTTTTCCATGCATTTTGTTTAGTGGTTGACGACTTCATCTTCCTATTCTGAGGAGTCTGGGTCTTGTTTCAGGCCGTGGCCTCTCTAGTCCTTTTGGAAGAGCTTTGCGCAGAATGCAGGGTCTTGGCTCTGTCCTCTGTGTCTCTCACCTCCCCTTCCTCCTCCATCCCTTTTCCTTTGGGGAGGAATCCCTTGGTTTGGTTTTCACTCATCCATTTTCTGGTTGGTTGTTACCTTTGTGCTCCTCTGTTCACTAATTGAGCTGTCATGTCTTCATTGTTATCACAGCTTAATTTTGTGTTTCAGAGGAAATAATGCCATCTCCATCTGAGAAGATCAAGGACACATTTCTAATCTATTGGGTGCTTTCTTGCCCTGGGAGAGCAGTCTGTTGTATTTGCTGTGGGACTTTAGTTTCCTTTGCAGGTCTGATTCTCTGAAGAGCTGTGTCCGTCGTGTTATGCATGTGTCCTTGGTCCCCCATTTATGGATGCTATTTTCCTTTGCTGTGTCCTGCCCTGTCTGACAGTAAGGGGGCTGGGGCATGCAGTTGGACAAGATGAGCCAGTAGTTCAGACTGAACACTTCCCAGTCCTCCTTCCTGTTCCTCCTGGTTATCAAGTGACACTTAAGGCCTCCTCTCTGGCTTCCTGCCTGCTCTCCTGCTCCCCCGCAAGGGCCTTTACTGGTCATTGCTCAACATCAAGGGAAAGGAGCCTAGTGACCCATTTATCCTTTCTACAAACATTGCACCAACCCTGCTTAGGTGATTTCTGTTTCCTGTACCTGCTGCCTCTAAGTTTGGCGTATCCCTGATTGACTGTCCTGCAGTTTCTCATCCATTCCACCCCCGCCCTAGAAACCTTTTGACTATGACTTTCTACTGCTTATATTTTGAACCATGGATTCTTTCATAAATTGCTCTCACCTGGTTTCCATTTGTCCAGACTAGGTGAAGGATGTCTCACACCCTCCTTTTTTTTTTTTCTTAAAATTTCTCTCATGTTCTTCTTTTTTTCTCTCCTATTTTCTCAGATGTATCATTTCAAAATAACCACACAATTCCATTCTCTACTTTCTGGTAAGTAGTTTTATCTGCAAATCACAATTGCTCATTTCTGCATTGTGCCTCTTCTTGGGTCCCATCATTGTCATAAACAAATCCATTCATAAACAGATATCTTATGCTGTTTTCACTGATGGAGCGTAGACACCATTGTCTCCTGAAATAACATCAACAGGGTTTGGTCATCAATCAATGTGAACTTGCCTCCCATCAATATCCTGACTCTTGTGTTGAGGCTGCATGGTGTCCAGTAGGTACCTCTGTCAGATAAAGCTCACATCAAGTTCATTTTGTGACCACTTACTCATAGACTAAAAGAGAGTTCTAGAGAGACTATATTTAGCTTTATTGGGACATGCCCATTCATGTCCTATTTTAAATTTTTGGAATTTTCCCCAAGTATGAAATTTTGGGGATTTACAGCTCTGGATCTCTACTATGGGCCGCTTATTGCTTTTCCAATATTCCTTTTTTTTTTCTTTTTTGGTTTATTCAACTGTCCTTGATCAATCCTACTGATACAGTTAGGGCACAGTTCTTAGTGGGCAGTCAGCACACACAATGGATATTCATGAAGCACAGTGGATAATTGCAAATGGCACATAATGAACAAAACAACAGGTTTCATGTGCACTTGCTCCATACCCTGTTGTTTTAAATTTTTAATTGGCATATGATAATTTTATATACTTATGGGGTACAATACAATATTTTGATAGATGTATATATTGTGTAATAATCAAGTCAGGGTAATTAACATATCTATTACCTGAACTTTTCCCATTTCTTTGTTGTGAGACCATTCAAAAATCCTTTCTTCTTGCTACATGAGATATGAATTGTGTTGTCATTAGCTATGGTCACCTTGCTGTGCAGCAGAATACCAGAGCCGCTTGCTCCTGTCTAACTGTAGCACCCATTGGCTGAGTCCTCCCCACCCGGCTCTTACCCCTGTGACTCCCAGCATCTGCTAGGCCACTCTCAACTTCTGGGACATCAACTTTTTGAGATCTCACAGCTGAGTGAGAACATGAGACACTTGTCTTTCTGTGCCTGATTTATTTCCTTTAATATAGTGGTCCATCCGGGTTCATCATGTCACAAATGACAGCATTTCAACCTTTTTATGTCCCCTAAATGTGCACCAATGTGTTTTACTACTATTAATTAGTGATAATAATGAAAGTCCCCTGCATTTCTGACACCCAGTATAGAGCTCATTCCTGTGATCGACGGGAACACACCCGTCACACCCATCAGTGAACTTGGGCCCTTGTGTCAATTTGTCAATGTCCCTGTGCCCTCTCTTTCTTGAACACAGGTTTTTGTTTTTGTTTTCCTTGGGACATCTTATTTTCCTGATATGAAATCATGTATTTTTAATTAAAAACACAGCAGATCCAATTGATCAGCTACTGATTTCCAATCACAACACGAATGTCCTCTCAAAGTGTTTGGCTGTGTTGCCACCTTTGATGGTAGAGGAACTGCAGCTGCAGGATCTTTAATTCTAGTTGTGCAGTCTCCTGTGTTTTTTTGAGTTTGGGAGGAGAAAAGTCATTTTTGATGACTCACTCCCTTCTCATGAAAGAGCATTTTCTTTGAATTGTTACATAAGCATTACTGTTTTTGTAACCTCTGTCTAGAACATGGTTGGCAAACATTGTATGTACAAGACCAGCCAGTAGACAGTTTAGACTTCAATGGCCATAAGTGACAACTATTCAACAGTCTTGACATAGTTGGAAAACACCAGTAGATAAGAAGTAGATAAATAAGCATGGCTGTGTACCAATAACCTTATTTACAACAACAAGCAGTGGGATGGATTTGCTAACCTCAAATATTAAGGTCTTACACTGCTTACTATAGATTCTTGCTCTATGAAACTTTTTTAAATTTTATTTTTTTTTTAGTGTAGCAAACTAATTATTTGGAATAAAGGAGGTACAGCATTTAATTAGGCAGTGATTAATATTGGAAGTTTGTGCTTTCAATGGAAGTTTCTGTGTAGGAAGCATCTTGGTGGTAATGTGATCTAAAATAATGCACAAAATCTCGAGATTGAGAAGCAAAAAGTCATCATTTTGATATTTCACTGGGCAGCAGAGGGAAGAGACAAGGCATTTTTCTGAGAAAAGACAGCTCTCACAAATCTCAAGAATGAGTGTTAAATGGTACTTACAGGGTTTGTGAGTGATGTTTGGAACCCCAGTCCCTTGGACCAATGGAAGGTGGCAGGTGGGGTTGGGGTCCTGGAAACAGAGCACCATCTGCTGGTACCATTGGCTTGGCTGGGCAGTGGGCTTCACTGTTTAAAATGCTGTGATCATTGTATCTAATACAATTCCTCACTTCTCTGGCTCAAATACATTTGGCTTGTTGGCTTATTGTGTAGACTCTCAAAGTGGGATTTTGAGATTTTCTGTGTTGTTTTTTTTTTTTCCCCCTGAAGAAGCTTTTTAACCTACAAAATTGTAAATTCTTCTTTGGAGAGAAACCAGAAGGATGCTCAGACTTCAGAATCCTGGGCAGATTGGGCAGTGGTGTCTGGGAAGGAGTCATGTTGTATAGTTGGTACCCAGGGTACTGAATGATCAACTCTGTCCTCTGTCCCCTGTCCTCTGTGTGTGTGTGTGTGTGTGTGTGTGTGTGTGTAAACCCAGAAAAAGCCTGCCCATCATTAAAAAGAATTGAAGTGAGTGAGTGACGAGTGACGAAGGAATAAGTCCTTGTCCTAAACATGCCTATACACTAGGAGTGACTGGGGAGTGTTAATTAGATC